GGCCTCGACGGCGCGCCCGCAGCCCCCCCTGCCCGCCCCTGCGGCTGCCGCTGCTGGAGCTGTCGGGACGGGGACAGCCCCTCTCCCCCGTGCACGGCGGGTGGGGAAGGCGAGTCTCGCCGTGGGGCGAGAACTCTCGGGCGAGACCCCGCGACCACCCCCGGCCCACGCAGGTGCCTCCCGCCGACGGGGGGAGGGTGGGCCTTGGCGGGTGCACCTGCTCCGCTCCCTGCGTGGCGTGCGGGCTGCGGCGGCTGCAGCCTTCGGGGGCAAACAACCCCCGCTGGCAATAGAAAGGGAACTCGGAGGGGCCCGGGGCTTGACTGCGGTTGCCTGGCCGTGGGGGATTTCTGCTATAGTTCCCCTTGCTGCTGCCCGGCGTGGATGCTGCCTGCCGCCGCCGCGGCGGGAGGGGCGCCGGGTGTCCGATGAGCTCCAGAGAACACGTTTTTTGATACAGAAATGAGTCAGGATGTGAAAAATGGCGAAACATGCAAAGTTCCCAGGCTGCGCTGCTGCTTGAAAAATCATGGCTTTGCAGCGGTTTCGGCGCACTGGCCTTTCCTCAAAGGCCCGCGGCTCATCAATGAGCTGCCGACGGGGCGGACCGGGGCGGGGCCGCTCCCGGAGGGCGGCAGGGGGCTGCGGGGCGGGGCGGGCCCGGCCGTGCGCCGGGCACAGCCCGCGGGCAGCCCGCACCGCCCCTCCCGCGTGACGCCAGTCACCGGCCGGGCAGCGGGGCATGGACACGCAGCCGGGAGTGTTCCCCGAGCGGACGCATCCCTTCTTGGGGTCACCTCCTGCTGAATTAGCCGGAGGGCGCGCGTCGTTGCTGTTTTGCCCTACCCAAGCCTCCGGTAGGAGGTGCCGTGCCTACCGGCCTGTGTTTGCCTACCTGTGAAATGGGTCTGCTGCACCGGGGGCCGGTGTTGGTGCCGAGTGAAGGGGCTTTGTACCGTGCCATGTCTGCAAAGCATTCCTCTGCGAGGAAGTGTGTGTGTGGGGTTAACACTGATCGGGAAAATTGAAGACTAATTCAGCTCTGTTCTACATCTTTCTGTAAAATGCATTTTGGCATCAGCTGAGAACAGGGTTACTCATGTCCACTGGATTTTTAAGTTGTTTTGTAGTTTGGGGGTTTTTTCCCCCAGTAAATATGTCTTTGGGCAACGAAGGAAATCAGGAGGCCAGAGAAAATACAGAAGGATGTCTTAGTGTCCACAGTATTGCCAGGTGTTTGGGATATTACTGTTGCAAAATCAAAACTGATAAGAAGCCACAGGAGTGTAAATTCTGTGTGTGTAAAATGTTCCTGAGCCCTTTACCAAAAGTTATTTAGAAGTAAGAGTGTTTTCTGAGTACTGCTCCAACAGTGGAGGTTGCTTACGTACACAGAAGGCCCAGAGCTGGGCCTGTCACCAGTGCAGCTGTGAGGATATGACAGAATTCACTGTTAAGGATATGTGCTACTTCTCTGTGACTGAAAATGAATGTTTCACTGAAGTGGTGTGGTCATTTTGCCTACTGTATCCCAGAGAGGTACAAACAAAACTGGGCAAGGTTATCTCTTCCTTCTTCTGCAGGAAACACTTTCCCTTATTGATTTTTGCAAATATTTCAGTGTTAACTGAGATAAATCCAACATCTTCCCGATTTGGATGTAAATTTGCTGAATAAATGCAAAGAATGTCTATTATTGCTCTCAAGAGAGTTGTTAATATGCACAATTTTCTTCTGACAGTTTTTTTGCAAGACTACATTTCTTTTCCAGTGACTCTGAAGAAACACATTTTTTTTCTCTGAAGAAAAACGTTTTTTTCATCCCAGATTGAAAAAAAGAATCCACTACATTTGGTTTATAAGATTACATAAAATTGCAAATAAAACATATCTTACTGTGTTCAAAACAGAGAGGGAAATGACGCCTCTGCTCCAGGTTTAAGGTCAATCTTCCACAACTCACTCTGCGTCTATAAACCCCACTAAAATCAGTAAGGTGTGTGCATGCACTCCACCGATGTTGCTTCATTCTTAATGTTTAAAATTTAGCTAGAAACAAGCCACGACTCTACTATTTTGCTTTATTTCCCAAGCATCTGTAGCTTGGGGGACTTGGATGTGTGAGGGTTCTTTATAATATATTTTTGCCAAAGCCCAAAAGAAAAATCACCCTTCTGCATCTCAACTTATGTATCATGCCTTAAATGTGAAGTAGCAGACTTCTTCTTACACTACCCTTCCAACTTTATTAATTAGTGATGTCTCTGAGCCTATTTATAGTAATTGCATCAACTGACAGAGTAATTGTAAACAGTGTAACTGCATGTTCTGGAGGGATTTTTTTCCCTTACATGAATTATATAGATAATTTAATAAAAGTAATTATATAAATGGTAAATACAAGTTAAATTACTTTATTTCCTGCACCTCCACTACAAACATAAACCTCAAGATGAAGTTTAAAAGCCTGTGAATAAAGTTTCAAGAATCCTGGTTAAACATCAAATCTGTTGATGTCAATCAAATCTACGTTGTCTTCTTCCTTACTGTTTTCCTGTTGCGATCTGCTGTTCAGCTGGCATGGCTTGGGCTTGCCAACGTCAGTTAACTAGGCATAACCAGAGAGAAAAGGAATCCTGAAGGAAATTCAGCTGTGAGAAGAGCAGTAAGCCTGAACACCAGGGTTTTCCAAATGTACACGAGATAGTTGCATACTTTTTTTTTAGACTTTGGAAAATCTCAGAAGCAGTCTCTACCTATGTGTTCCTATTTTTTCTGAGTTTGCCACAGAATCTGCAAGGAATACTGTGAAAACAGTGTCTAACAACTTGTATGATCACATGTGGTTTTTTTCCTATCAAAAGCCTTATAAATTGCCACCTTTCCCTCTGGTACAAATATATCTTAGAATTCAAGAAACATTTTTATAAATGTATGCTTATCTGTGCTTTGTTGTTTACTTTCTGCATTTCTTTTAGCCTGTGTATCATAAAACAACAAGGAACTTTCACTTTTTTAGTTTCACTTTTAGACTGTAGTTACGGTAAAGTTTCAAATGCAGTTGTGGTATTTTTATAATTGAAAATCAGGTGATTTTTGGTATTTTGGCCAGAAATGTTTTTAATGAATATTGTTAACACATCTGAAGCAAAATAAAAATATATGTTTTCCTTTGATGTAGACTTCCTCATAAAAGGAGATAAGAAGATTGATTAAAAGTTATGGGGAAGGAGGCAGGAGACTGGGGCTTAGTGCCTCTTTTATCATGTATTGAATTATGTCTCCAACAATGTGCATTAACATTTTTGTTCCAGTAACCTGTTCAGTGTGTGAGGGCCAGGCTGGTGCCTTCCTGAGGGATACCTGCCTCAAAGGTAGCTGGATATGTTAGCACCCAGATTTGCATGTGTGCTGGGACTCCAAGAACAACAAACACTTAGGTGTGAGTGGCAACCACCTCCCCTGCTGAAAATGGACATAGCCTGGTCCTGGGTAAGGCCAAAAACAGATAGTGACAGATGTGGGCCAGCAGGAGATGCAGCTCCCTCCACACCATCATGCTCATGTTTTCTTGCAGCCAGGCAAAAGAAAAAGGAAAGCAAGAGAAAGGGTAGGAAGCTGACTGGAAACTTTTAGCAGCTGGAAACAAGATCTCTCCGAGGGTATGCATCCCTGTGCTTAGAGAGAGAAGGGGTGCTGGGCTGGCTCCTACTCCAGCAATGCAGATGGTGTAGCCTAGATCCTTTAAGTCTGTACCTCTGGTTTCTGCACATGCAGGTTTAGAGTAACCACTGTTACCCTGATTCTAGCACACAACCTACACAGAAAACCCAGTGTGTTCTGGTGTACAACAGAAATGAGGTAGAAAGGGTTCAGACTTACCAGTTGATTGCATTATATCTTTTTCTTTATTTATTTTGAAAGTATAGTTGACCTTAGGTCAGGTAGCAATAAGAATTCAATGATAAGGTGAAACTGAATCAATTGAAATTTTATAGAACTTGATAAAATTAGGATCTTGAGTGAGGGAGCAAAGGTAAACCTTACACTCATCAGCAGAGGCTCTTTTTTGTGGTAAACCCTCTTTGTTTGTGTATGGCTTGAAAGGATAGTAATGCCTGAGGCCTTCCAACTGCAAAAATAGCTTATTATAGGAACTGAACATATGTTGTACAAAAGCTGGTTTTTCATTTGTTCTGAAACAGCACGGTACAGTAGGTGCAAAAGGAGGCTTGGGGGAAGTGACACCAGATCTCTGGACACCAGCAGAACCCCATGTCCAGTTGGCTGCCCAAGCACGGTGGGCTCAGTGGTGTTCCAAGAGCAGGACCTCCTCTGAAAACTAGCCTGTCCATGTAATGCCTTTCCATGTAATTCCTCATCATCACACAGAGCAATCTAATTTCTTTTTAAAACACAGTACTAACAATAAGAAGCATTCATTGCACATATTGCAGCTTCATCTTTTTAACCTGCAGCGGAGCACTGACATTCAAAGTAATAAGAAAATTTGCTGTATGGTGGGTCATTGACACTGTAAGTTACCAGAATACCTGGAGCAATACAGCCTTTCCAACTACTTTCATCACACACAAGACTATGTGATTTATTGACTTTGTTTCACTGCTACCAACTACTACTTGAAAAGCCATAATGATGTTTATTTATTTATTTTTAATATGAAATATGATGTGATAAAAATGTTAGACA